CATTTAAAGTAATTATGTCTGGGATAGAATCAGGCATTGGATTGAAGCAGAATTGGGGAGTGGAAAAGCTATACCTGGTTAAGGAATTTATGTATCTATAAGCAGTCGTAACAGATGAAGTTCAGAAGCTTACAGAGAAAAACAAGACTGATAATGTCATTTGTATGGTGTGATGCCACATAGTTTGTTGATAGACAGGAAGCATGGTAAATGCCAATTATAAATAACTAGCACAGGCTTTATATAGCATGTTTATCTCCTGGTTCCTGCTTGGTAGTAGCACTGACACTGTAACTATTGGTGGTATTTGTGACGTTAATGGCGGTATTAGGTAATGATTGAGCGTGTGGACTCTGGAGCCAGACGTCCTGGGTCTGAATCAGTGCTCCAGCACTTCATTTAACTTTAAGCTTTGGACTGTTTGTTACTAAATGGAAATGATGGTAATATCTCTCCCCTTGGGTCAGGTGATCATCTGGTATAAAACTGTGAGTGTATGTGACATCAGGCACTGTAGGATAGTTGAAAGAATGCAGACCTTGGTGTTAGACTTGAGTTGGTTTAGTTCCTGGATATACTGCTTAGTTGTGGGACCTCAGGAGTGGAATCTTTTGGAGCTCTAGTTTCTTCCTCTGTAAATGGTATTTACTGCATATGTTTCTTATGAAGATAAGAGTATGTGAGTACCTGTCTTGGACAACAAATGATACTTCTATTGTTTTTTAGGGCTCATGGGTTTGCTTAACAACTCAGTGACTTACATGATTTCTTAGTCATCAGGTGTAACACTGAACTGCTGTTAGCTTTATTTAATTCATTTTTTGTTTGTTTTCAGTTTTCAACTTTTTAATCGGTGCTGTGAAGGACATCCTAAATGCTAAATGAGACACAACAGAATATTTTTTTCTTCCAGTATTAAAAAAAAATGACATTAACAAATATTTTAAAGAAACTTCTGTGTAACCAGGGTGGTGACCTCGAATAAAAAAAAAAAAAAAACACCTCTAATCATGTTCTTGATGTCTTATGATTTTATTTGGGAATTGCTTCCCACTCATGATAAACATTGTATACAGGCTTCTAAAATGTCCCTAAATGCGCATTATCTTTTTTTTTTTTTTTTTGCCAGAACCAGTAATTCTGAGAGCCCAAACTAAAAAAGTGGTAAAAGGGAAAATATCAGACCCTACAAACGTCCCAGGATTTGTCTTCAAATGGGAGAAAAATTTCAAAAAACACATGGAGCTTTCTAAAATGTCTTTAACAAGCTACCTTGGGAGTTAGTTCAAAATTAGAAGTTGATGCACTAAAACAGATGTTTCAGTGTAGCTTTAAAAATCTTTGTAAGTACAGCCATTTGGAAGGATGATCCTGGAATCAGGAGTTTTATTCCTGTGTATCTACATTAGGTACACATGCCTCATCTCTGTTGTCAAAATTGTCTCTGTAATTTTCTCTAGTGTAGTGGTCATAAGCACTCTGGCCTTCCGTATCCATATCTTCTAGGTCATCATGTCTGCTACTCCCATAGCCCTGGTCCCTACCACCTCTAGAGTAGCTTGTAAGCTTGCCCCCCTGGGCCCCAAAGGCATCCCCTCTAGTTCCCCTGGCCGACTTGCCAGAGTGATCCATGTGGATCATGACCATCCAGGGACTCTTCATTCATGGCTCTCATGGCATCTGAGACACGCTCTGGTTTGGTGAAGGTGATGAAATTAAAACCCCAGGATTGCTGAGTTTCACAAGTCCCTGACAACAACCACCTCAGAGATAGGACCAGAGCTGCCAAAGTGGTCTTCCAGTCTGCTTATTGGTGTTGAAGTTGAGCCCTCCCACAAAATCTTCCCTTCTTCAGAAGACATGGCAGTGAGTTTGAGTACTGCAAATTAAGCGGAAGGACCAGAAGAACAGCTATCATCGAGGAGCAGAGAGAATGGGCTGTTGGCTTTAAATAGGACTCAGAATTTTAATATGAGCAAAGGGGATCAGACCAGTCTGGAATTAAATTAAGTTGGTTGCTTAACATTTGGAATAGTTATTATAAATGTAATCTAAGGTTCTGCAGTCTTTATTTTAGGGGGTAAGATATTTTCCCTTAGAGGAAATTTTTTTTTAGTAGAGTCTATCTTTTGGAGTAATTTTAGGTTCACAGCAAAATTGAATGAAAAATACAGACGTTTCCATATACACCCGCCTACCCACACACATGCACAGCCTCCCCATTATCAACATCCTTCTACCAGAGTGGTACATTTGTTATCATCAGTGAACCTACACTGACACATCATTATCACCCAAAGTATATAATTTATATTAGAGTTCATTCTTGGTGTTCTTTATTCTGTGGGTTTTGACAAATATATTATGATATGTATTTACCATTATAGTATCATTTAGTGGAGTTTCACTGACTTCAAAATCTTCTGTGCTCTGCCTATTCACCCCCTCTCCCTTAATCCCTGGCAACCACTGATCTTTTTTTTTTTTTTTAAGATTTATTTATTTATTAGAGAGAGAGAGAGAGATTGAAGGGGGAGGGGCAGAGAGAGAGGAAGAGAGAGAATCTCAAGCAGAATCCCCGCTGCATGTAGAGCTCAGTGGGGCTTGATCTCACAACCCTGAGATCATCACCCGAGCCAAAACCAAGAGCCATCAACTGAGCCACCAGGTGCCCTGGCAACCACTGATCTTTTTAGAGTTAACATGGTTTTGCCTTCTCCAGAAGATCATGTAGTTGGAGTCATATAGTATGTAGCCTTTTCAGATTGGCTTCTTTCAAGTAAAAGAAAAATTTTAACCTCTAAATTCTATTTGTCTAGGAAAAATATATCTGAGAAGTTTGCCCTCTTGAACTCAACAAGCAGCTTCCTTCAAGGGGCTGGGAGACAGGAAAGGGACTTGTGCCCCACAAGCCAGATCATCAGCCAACCCCATGGCTTAGCAGGATGACCTGTTGCAACTGCATTAGCCTTCACACCTTCCTTCTCATGATATTTTTAACTGTATTGGACTAAGTCCACAGTATAGAGTTATAAATAAGGCTGGGTGGAGACACATGGACAGGCTAATAATTAGGTACTTCTTTAAACCTGTGTCCTTAAATATTTATTCCATGCTTATTCATTGTATATGCTGAGTCCTGTGTGTGTGGGAAGAGCAGAAACGGAAACAATTTGGCTGGGCCTGGCACACCCCACTTAGCAGACTAAAACCTCACTGTTAATCACCCTTAAAAGTCAGTTTGGTGATTATCAGTTGTTACTAAATCTCATTAACTACACCCTTCCTTAGTAGCTTATTAAAATATTTCTTCCAGGGGTGCCTGGCTGGATTAGTCGTTAGAGCATGTAACTCTTGATCTTGGGGTTGTGAGTTTGAGCCCCACATTGGGTGTAGAGATTACTTAAAAATAAATCTTAGAAATAAAATAAAATATTTCTTCTAGTCAGGAGCAATTTCTGACAGATAACCATTCTTTCCATCTTGGTATACACCCAGCCATGTTGTAGTGCCTCTTACTGACTTGTGCTCTGAGCAAGTGCCCAACTGGCCATTGCCAACCTAACTTGGTCATCGGTGGAAGTTAGGCAAAGTTGGCTTTTCCTTCTCCATCTGGAGATGCGGTCCCTGAGGAAATCCCCCTTGGCCCTGTCCCAGTTGGAGAGGACTGCACTGTTTCCCTCTGTGTAGCTGTGATGTTGTTCACAGAAAGATGGACCAAAAAGCTTCACTTCCCACGTTCTTTTCTGTGTCCTCATCTGGAAGGTAAAGCGTGGAAGATGGGTAGAAGAAGAAAGAGCTCTAAGTATTATGAAAGGAAGGACCTGGGGCTGGTCACTCAGTGAGAACAGCATCTGTGAACACCCAGCAGGCCTGTTGCCTGGGGCAGAGATTGGCAACCATTTTCAGTAAAGTCCTGGGCACTATTTTAAGCATCATGGGTCATATAGCCTCTCTTATACTTATTCAACTCTGCTATTGTAGCACGAAAGCTGCCATGTATGATTTGTAAAGAATGGGCATGGTTGTGTTCCAGTAAAGCTTTATTTATTGACACGTGTCCATTCTTAGCTCACTGGCCACACAGAAACAGGCAGTGAGCTGCCTGTGGCCCATGGGTTGTAGTTTGCTGACCTGGTCTAGGATAATATAGGCAACCTGAAGTTTGTCAGTTTGATGGTATCTGTGCTGCTTGTGTATTCTCTGTAGAGGTCCTTTTTGTGCTCACTTAGTAAAGCTTGGTGAAAAATAACTTCGGAAATGCTAGGTGAATCCAAGGAGTGGGAGTTCTGCTGATGTTTGGGTAGTAGAGGAGAACCCTTCCCCCTGAGGCCAGTTGGGATAGTGGCAGCAGTAAGCACGTTGAGAATAAAAGCCACTTGGGTAGCTCAGTAGTTTAAGCATCTACCTTCGGCTCAGGTCATGATTTCAGGATCCTGGGATAGGGCTCCTGCGGGCTCCCTGCTCAGCGGGGAGCCTGCTTCTACCTCTGCCTCTGCCATTCCCCCTGCTTGTGCTCTATCGCATGCTCTCTCTCTCTCTCTCTCTGTCAAATAAATAATTAAATAAATAAATAATCTTTTTTAAAAAAAGAAAAGACTGAGAGCCACACACCAGAAGTTCTGACTCTTATTCTCTGCTAATACCTCAGAGGTTCTGTGTTTGGTTTGAACAAGGGCAGGTAATTTTCATCTGCACACATGTTCTTACTGATAATGAAACTATGTTATTTCTATCTCAAAGCTCTTTCATTGAGGAATTTTGTTGGACTTTTTTAAAAAACATTTTTAGTATTTTTTAGTTGTCTGAATGCTATGTTAACCTTCTCGGAAGTTAAACAGATGGAGCTTTAGCCTTGAGGGTGGGATGTGCCAGCATATGAAATGCTTATACTCCTAGGCCAAGAATTCATTAATTTTTAGGTGACAGATAGCTATTGTTAATAGTTTATTTCATTTATTTGTTTTTGCATAATCATCTACCATAATTTTTATCAACAGGATCCTTACTACAGATTTAATGACCTTAACTACAGATGGATCTCCTTGGATAACTGGACTTATAGCAAGAAATTTAAAATCCCCTTTAACATTAGGTACGTTTGTGTGTATATCTATATCACATCTGTATTTATTTAGTTATTATTATTGATCTTCTTTTTCTTTCTCTGCAATAATCTTTTGTTTGTTTAGGTTGCATGTCAGAGATTTGTGAGACTAAAGCCTTGTCTGATAAAAGTGAATATTTGATTTATGTTTTGATTTGTATATAAGAATGGTGCCACTGATCATCAGTCATGAAATTATGTCTTACTCAGTCATTCTTCCACGGCTTATAATGGAGTCACCTACACCTAGTCAATTCTCTTATTTCCATTTCCTTCTCTCTGCCCCCCACCCCATAATCAACAGAGTGTGTGTATTTATAATTTGTCAAGTAGGATCCGAGATATATCATTTGTTCCATGTGGTGTTAACCAGCCATCGAGGCCACGGCATTGGCCTTATATTATGTCATGAAGCCATGAGGAAAAGCATAGTTCAGTTTCAGTAATGTTCCATGTAGCAGAAAGTAACCCAGTTATATCTACCACCATTATTGCTAAATAAAAAAATCTTCTGTCCCTTTTGTATGACTTTTTTTGGGGGGGGCAATTATTTACTAGCCTCTTGAAAGAGAGATAAATCCAGAATGTGGTGCTCAACATGGCAGCATTGCTGTGCTCCAGGCTCTTATTTCCAGATAATACTTAAAATATCTCTGTAAGGGGTTCTCTTTCATCTTGAACTCAGCATATCCAAAATTTAAACAAATGACTTTCCCACTTAAAGCGTACTTTCTATTGTAACAGTCTTATTGTTTCTCTTAACGTAACCCCATTTTGCTGATGTTCTATGCCTAAGGTGTTTTTGGCTTATACTGTCTTTTCTTCATCTCTGTATGTGGTCTGATTCTGAGTCCTGTTAATTTCTGCCTATCGTTTTTCTTGATTCAGCCCCTTTCTCCTCATTTCCCAGTTTCCACATTTGCCTAGGCCTTTGTTAGTGAGTGCCTGCAATTAGCCCAAAGCTGCATAATTAAATTTCTTGGTTTGTCTTTTTATTCCATACACAAGTATATGGAAACATTAGACTCATCTTCCCCAAACAGTAGATTCATCTTCCCCAAATTTTGGTTTTGCCATGATGTTCTTGCTCAAGAATGACAGTGTCAGGACACCTGGGTGGCTCAGTCGGTTAAGCATCTGACTCTTGGTTTCAGCTTAAATCCTGATCTCTGGGTCTTGAGATTAAGCCCCACATCACCTCATGCTCCACTCTCAGTGGGAGAGTCTGTGCAAGATTCTCCCTCTCTCTCTCAAGTACATAAATAAATACAATCTTAAAAAAAAAAAGAAGAATGACAGTGTCTTCCTTTCTTTTTTTTTTTTAAGGTTTATTTATTTATTTTAGGGGGAGAGAGAGAGCGTGAGAGAAAGCATGAGCAGGGGGAAGGGCAAAGGGAGAGGGAGAGAATCTTAAACAGACTCCCAGCCCAATGGGAGCCTGAGGCTGGCTCAACGGGGTGCGGGTGGGTGTTGGGGGGCCTCAGTCCTACAACCCTGAGATCATGACTTAAGCTGAAATCAAGAGTTGGATGCTTAACCAACTGAGCCACCCAGGCGCCCTGACAATTTAATTGTCTTCCTTTTAATTGACAAAACCAGTTTAATCTTCTCTGCTTGTCTATGAAAATACTGCTTAAACTTGCCTATTCCTGTCCCACTTCCTGTGTCCCATCTTGCCCTGTGGACTTGACCAGATTCCTCCCTTTAGCTCTTTAGCACAACCTGTGCACCTGAAACTAGTTGTTATCTTTTTTTTTTAATTTTATTTATTTATTTGACAGAAAGCGAGAGAGCATGAGCGGGGGTGGGGAGGAATAAGGGGAGAGGGAGAAGCAGACTCCCCGCTGAGCAGGAAGCCTGATGCGGAGCTCGATCCCAGGACCCCCAGGATCATGACCTGAGCTGAAGGCAGAGGTCCAACTGAATGAACCATCCAGGCGCCCACTAGCCTGTTATCTTAATGTATTGATGCTGTTAGCACTTCCTTATTTTTAATTTGCTCTTCCTTGGGGGTCTACCTTATACCTAGACATTTCTTTTTTTTTAAATTTTTTTAAAGGTCTTATTTATATATTTGACAGAGCACAAGCAGGGGGAGCAGCAGATAGAGGGAGAGAGAGAAGCAGGCTTCCCGCTGAGCAGGGAGCCCAATGCAGGGCTCGATCCCAGGACCCTGAGATCATGACCGAAGGCAGACACTTACTGGCATTCCTACCTAGACATTTCTACTCATTAAAAAAAAAACTTTATTGAGACCTAATTCACATACCATACAATTCACCCTTTTAAAGTAGACAATTCAGTAGTTTTTTGTTGTTGTTGTTAGGATAAAAATACGAACGCTTCACAGATTTGCGTGTCATCCTTGAGCAGGGGCCATGCTAATCTTCTCTGTATCGTTCCAGTTTTAGTACATATGCTGCCGAAGCGAGCACTACAATTCAGTAGTTTTTAGTATATTCAAAGAGTTGCGCCACCATCACTATCCTCACTTCAGAGAGAAAGCCCATACCCATTAGCAGTCATTTCCCATTCTCAACATCTCCATGCCCTCATCCCTATCCCGGCACTAGGCAACCACTGACTCATTTTCTATGGATTTTCCTTTTCTGGGAATCTCACATAAATGGAACCATACAATATGTGGTCCTTTGTGACTGGCTTCTTTCACTTAGCATAATAATGTTTTCAAAGTTCATCCATGTTGTCACGTTGACCAGTACGTCATTTCTTTTTATTGCTAAATAGTATTTTGTTGCATGGATATACCACATTTTATTTATTCTATTCGTCTTTAAATTCTTGTTTCTTTCTTGAAGTCTTTCCTTATGACATGAGCTCTGATAGCTCCGGTGGTCTGTCCAACAAGACTGTACTATAAAATAGAAGAGGTTGAAAGTTTTCCCTGTATTCCTGTGTTTTAGGCCAGACTGGCAACTAGATTGCAGATTCCTTAAATTCAGAGAGTGTTTTAGTTCCCTGTAGGGCTTAGCAAAGTGCTGGGCACATAATATTCATTCATAGTTACTTGTTAGTTGGTTAATGTGTTCTCTTAGATAGTGTCAGTAAATGTAATATTTTGTGAAAATGCTTTATATCTACTATTTAACTTAATTATCATAAGAATTTTGTAAAGTCCTAGAAAAAAGTCAGTACGTTCGGAAATTACAAGCTGTGCTCATGATTTTATGGCAATTGAAATGTTATGAAGAAAGATAAGCTAGATCACTCAACATAACAGGGGTATTATGCTGAGCAAGTAAGTCAGTCAGAGAAAGACAATTATCATATGATTTCACTCATATGTGTAATTTAAGAAACAAAACAGAGGATCATAGGGGAAGGGAGGGAAAAATAAGACGAAATCAGAGAGGGAGACAAACCATAAGAGACTCTTAACAAAAAGTGAGGGTTGCTGGAGGGGAGGTGGGTGGGGGGATGGGGTAACTGGGTGATGGACATTAAGGAGAGCACATGAGGTTAATGAGCACTGGGTGTTCTATGCAACTGATGAATCACGGAACTCTACCTCTGAAACTAATAATATACTATATGTTAATTAATTGAATTTAAGTTTTAGAAAATGTATTAAATCAATACTTATGAAAATTTCATTGGAAACTGCCTTTTAAGAATGTGTATTTTTTGTGAAGTATTTATTCCTTTAGTTTTTAACTAATAAAAAAGGACTTATCTAAGTTAATGTTTTATACAGCTTGTTTTAAAAATCTTTTCTTTTTTTAAGCAAATGGCAGAAAGTGAATTTGATTTTTGAGGGCGTCGATACAGTTGCAAAAGTCCTGCTAAATAGTGTTCCTATTGGGAAAACAGGCAACATGTTCAAAAGATATGTAAGTATACAGTGATATCAGGTTAAAACGTACTTACATGTGTTTGTGTGTTAATTGTTGTGATTAGAGAAACGTAAGTGCATAATTGCCTGTGCAGGCTGGTACAAGCTCTTTGAAGCACTGGGTAAGTTACTTTCTTTCTCAGTTGCCTCATTGGAGAATGATGAAAACACCACAGACCCTATGGAGTTGTTGTGAGGACTTAATAAGCTAAGTATATAAAATGTTTGACACAATTCTTGGCACATGAGAAGTGTTCAGCAAATGCTATTCGCTTCTCTGTTTATGGTGATCTGGAGTTTCATGCGAAACGCCAGTTGACAAGCTATTAAGAAGGAAAGTGCTCCTTTCTTTCTGGAATAATTACATTAAGATATCATATCCTGATCTCCATTCAAGGGTAGACTTTTCAAAGCAAAAATAACTTATGACTTAGAAATACACGCTGTTCATACCAGAGAGTCAGGTTGTCATGAAGCATCTAGGAAATTCCTTGGCAGTTCAAGGTCAAGGGTAAATAGCCAGAGCAGACATTCCAGGGCTAAAGATATTTTCTGCTTGCTCTCTTTGCCTAGGACCATCATCTGTCAGTACAAATAGAAGGAAAAACCTAGAAATCTACTTTTGGGTAGGAGAATGTGTTCACTTGTACCTATAAGCAGGCAACTAGGTTATACTATTTCTTCTACAAAAAGGCTAACCCTAAAGATTTCCGTTATTTTATGCATCTTTCATACATTTTTATATAATCTCTATCTAAAATTTGACACACGCGGCTACTTCCACATCTGTTCTTTCCTTTAATGCAGAGCTTTGATATTACCAGTGTGGTTAGAGAGGTGAACTCCCTTGAGCTGTGTTTCCAGTCATCAGTGTTGTATGCGGCCCAGCAGAGCAAAGCTCACAGCTACTCCGTGCCTCCGGACTGCCCTCCGCCTGTGCAGAAGGGCCAGTGCCATGTCAACTTCATTCGAAAGGTAACGGTCTTGCAAATGGAGGGGACTTTAGCCTTGAGGATGGGCTGTGCCGCCATGTGAAGTGCTTGTTTGAAGACACCAGTAGTATTTCAGAAGTTGGGCCTCTCTTTCCTGCCTGCTTTATGGGATTGACAACTTGAAATCAGGGGTGCCTGGGGGGCTCAGTCGTTAACTGTCTGCCTTCGGCTCAGGTCATGATCACAGGGTCCTGGGATTGAGCCCCACATCGGGCTCCCTGCCCCGCAGGGCAACCTGCTTCTCCCTCTCCCACTCCCCCTGCTTGTGTTCCCTCTCTCGCTGTGTCTCTCTCTGTCAAATAAGTGAATAAAATCTATTTTTTTTTAAAAAAAGAAAACTTGAAATCAGAACCAAAAGATGATATGAATTTTTGTGAAGAATCTTTGTCTTCCTAGATTTCCTTCCTGAAGCATGCCTCAGAACTTAGGAAAAGAAGAAAAATAAGTGACTGATAATGTAATTTTACAAATTATTTTTTTAAAGATTTTATTTATTTATTTGAGAGAGGGAGAGGGAGAGCTGACTGAGCCACCCAGGCGCCCCTACAAATTATTATTATTTTTTTAACATTTAGGTTTATCAAGCTTTTCACCAGAGTGTAAGGTTTATATTTATTAGTGATTCTTGTTACCAGGAAGCCTTCTGCAAATATTAATATATTTGCTGATGTGTTCTTATATTTTACTGCTAGGTTCACATAAAATCTAACAAAAAGGACAAAATCCACAAGGTGATTATTCTTCTTTGAGTTCCATCTGAGTCTAAATGACTTGAGTTTATTCAAATACGTGGTTGGATTAATATTCTATGTGGCATTAACTTTTTGATTTTATTTTTACTTTAAAAATTGTTAATTGTGGTAAAATATGCATAGCACAAAGTTTGCCATCTCTACCATTTTTAAGTGTGTGGTTCACTAGCATTAAGTATATTCATGTTGTTGTGGAACCAATCTCGAGAACTTTTTCATGTTGCAAGACTGAAACTCCATACCCATTAGAAAACAACTCCCAGGGATGTCTGAGTGGCTCAGTGGGTTAAGCGGCTGCCTTCAGCTCAGGTCATGGCATCAGGGTCCTGGGATCAAGCCCCACATCGGGCTCCCTGCTCAGCAGGAAGCCTGCTTCTCCCTCTGCCTGCCACTCCCCCTGCTTGTGCTCTCTCTCTCTCTCTCACAAATAAATAAATAAAATAGTTAAAAATAAATAAATAAATAGATAAATAAAAAACAACTCCCTATTTTCCCCTCCTCCCAGCCCCTGGAAACCACCATTATTTCTGTTTCTATGAGTTTGACTACTCTAGATACCTCAGATAAGTGGAATCATGCATATTTGTCTTGTGCCTGGCTTATTTCACTAGCATAATGTTCTTCATGTTGTAGCATGTGTCTGAATTTCCCTTCCTTTCTAAGTCTGAATAATATTCCATTGTATGTACGTGCCACATTTTGTTTTTTCATTCGTCTGTCAATAGACATTTGGGCTGCTTCCACCTTTTGGCTATTGTGAACAATGTTGCTATGTATGGATGTACCAATATCTCTTTGAGATCCTGCTTTCAGTTCTTTCGCATAAATACCAAGAAGTGGGATACTGGAGTATATGGTAATTCTATTTTAAATTTTCTTAGAAATTGGCAATTAGTTTTAACAACAAATGTAATTATTGGTTTCATTGTGAAGATACTAGGTATTTTTCCAGTACTTGTTAACTAAAGCCTCGGTTGATAAATTCTGATCATTTAAGTTAAGTGGCTCTCTTTAGGCTGGATGGATTTATCATTAAATTATGTTTCTTTAATATAAGTACTAAGATCAAAATGATACCTCCTCTTGTTTTATTCAACCTACCTAAATTTGTGTCAGTGTCTCAATATAACCATTTGTTTGTACTACCATAAAGGAACAGACTGTAACTGAGCAGTCAGCTATTCTGTGGAATACTGTGTACTTATACTTCTGTTTCAAATTCTTCTTTTGTTTTTGGACTTTGGCTTTAAATGGCACAGTGGTTTGAATACTAGAGTTTGCACTTTTTCTCTCTCCTCTTCTATCTTTAATCTTCTATCAAAATGAGGACTTCCTGAATCTTAATGTTACTTTTCAGGTCCTCAATAAAAGTATGTATGTGTTATGCATATATCCATGTAGTAGTTTTCCTCTGTCTCCCCCCACCCCCCCGCCCCATTCAGTTTGTGGCATATAAAACACACGTTCGGGGCACCTGGATGGCTCAGTCGTTTAAGCATGTGCGTTCAGCTCAAGTCATGATCCCGGGGTTCTGGGATCCAGCCTGCTTCTCCCTCTCCCTCTGACCCTCCCCCCTGCTTGGGCTCTCTTTCTTTCTCTCTCTCTAATGAATAAAAAAAAAAAAAATCTTAAAAAAAAACCCCCATACTTTCAGGTTATCTAGATAGATCAAAGCCCTCATCACTGAAATCAGGAATCAGACCCAAGATTCTGCTCTCAGGGTGTGTGGAAAACTAACCCTGGGGCAAACTTACCAGAGCAATGACTTGCATCTTGATGTTTCTGGCTAGACCAACATGGTGCAGTGGAAAGAGACATGAATTGGAGAGCAAGTCAGGAATCTTAGATCTGAATTCTGGCTTTATGACCAGAACGATCTTAAGCAAGTCCATCATTTATGTATGGAGCTATTCCCTTCCCTTCTTGACTGTTGATAGGAGCATACAGTGAAATAATAATGTAAATGCATTTTGCGTATTATAAAGTGCTATATAGCTATTCAAAATGTAGGGTAGTGTTATTACTGATTTTGGAGATTTATTTCTGTAGTTACAGACTTCTAAGTGTGTAACTGATTATATGAAGTTAGTGGAATAGAGGTATCAACACAAGTCCCCTCTTGTCTCTGCTTCCTTCTCTGTCCAGCCTGGATGGTGGGACACATCCCTTCAGCTACCCTCTTAGCAATATTCTCCACCTCCCCCTTGTTTTCTGCCTACATCTCTGGCCGTTCCTTCTAAGTTGCTTTATCCAGATCAACCTACCCCTCTTAGAGGTTGTATTATTCATGCTTTGGTCTGTTCTAGACACTTTCCTCTTCTCATTTTATACCTCTCTAGGCTATCTCATTTAGCTTCACTTCTTCAATAACCAGTCAAATTTCTAATAACTTATAATATTGTATCTTCAGTCCAGACCTCTCTTCAATTCCAGACCTCATACTGGATTGCCTACTTGGCATCTTCACTTGCCTGATTCACAGGGACCTAAAGCGCAGGATGTCCAACACCTGGATCTAAACCCTTCTCCCAGGGTTCCCTGTCTCGCTGAATGGAATGCCATTCGGAATAGTTGCTCAAACCAGAAACCTAAGAGTTATTTTTGATAACTCCCTCTCTCTGTTATCTGTCCTCCAATCCATCCCTAAGTCATTTTGACCATTTGGACATTACCTCTTTAATAGTTCTTTAATCTTCCCCATGCTCTATTTCTACTAGCATGCTTGAGTTCAGTCTATCATCATTTCTTGCATGAAATATTACCCCAGCCACCTAACTGCAACCTACAACCTTATTTGCCTTCCTCCAATTAATTTTACATAGAGCAGCCAGAATGCTCTTTTTAGACAAAAATCATTGTAGCACTCTCCTTCTTAAAACTGTTCAACAGTTTCTCATAGCCTTTAGGCTAAAGTAACAGGTCTTAGTTTGGTCTGACTCACACCCACTTCTCCTGTCTTCTCCCCATCTCTTCCCATTGTTCTCTCTTCATCTCCTGGAATGTGTGATAGTCTCTTGCACCTCAAGGCCTTTGCACACGCTGTTCCTTTTGAAAGGGATGCTTTTACTTCCTTCTCCCCTGAACACACTGTACAAGTCGTACTTCCCCTTCAGATCTCCATATAAAAGTCACTATTATTCAGGGAAACCTGTCTTGACACCTTTCCCTCCACTCTCCCATTATATTGTTCCCTGTCAATGTCTTTTGCATTTGTGATTATTTATTCAGTACCTGAATTTCTTGCCATACTGTGAGCACTATAAATGGAAGGACTGTCTGTTTTGTACGTTGATGTCTCCCAGCCTGAAATATAAAAAGCACTTCACAAATCTCTTTTGAATAAGTGAAAACTTTTATTTGAAGAAGTTGTATGAATAAGAGTGATTTGTAGCCCTTGATGGGGAAAATAGTCTGCCTTATAAGACGTTGAATATTTTTGCCCTCCTCCTTATCTCTGTCTCTAATAAAGGAATTACGTACCTGAGCTTACAAACTCTTTAATAAATAGCTCCAAGATGGTTTTCATCCCAAACATGAGAATTTGATCCTGAAGTGGTGAATTTAGACAAATATGAATGCTCTGAAGTGGTTTCAATTCTTTGTTTTTCTCTGTAATGGAAACTAATTTATCTCTATCTCAGATAGATACAGATCTTAGGAAATAATATTAAATGAGAACAGTTTGGCCAATTCCTCAGGCTCTATTCTACCACTGTTCCATTCAGAAAGAGCTTAGTACTTCTTGTGGTGCTTATTCCTTTTTAAAAGCTGAGCTCATAACCTCAACATGTTAATTATCTTTATTTTTAAATGTTTCCTCGTTCTTTATAGTTACTACACTTAAATAGAATGTCCTTTATAGTTACTACAGTTGAATACAATGGTTGGTTCAGAGATATTTTGGAGCAGTTTAAAGAGTGACTACTGTGTTGCTTCAATGTCATATGCTTTTGAAGAATAAATGTACATAATCAGATTTTATGTTCTTAAAACATTTCTGTGAAACTTAACTATGTTGCATAGGTTCATGTATTAGTTATCTATTGCTGTATAACAAATTATGCCAAAACTTAGCAGCTTAAAATAACATTTATATCCTAGTTTCTGTTAGTCAAGAATCCGAGTGTGGCCTAGCTGGGTGCCTCAGGCTCAAGGCCAGTCGTGAGGTTATAGTGAAGTATGGACCAGGGCTGTGGTAATCTCATGGCTCTACTAGGCCTGACGTGTCTGGGCCTAAGCTCACTCATGTGGTTGTCGGTGGGCCTCAGATTGGCATCCAAGCTCACTTAACTCATGTGGGCCTCTCCACAGAGCTGCCTCACAACATGGCAGCTGGCTTCCCTCATGGCCAGAAGAGAGAGGGAGAGAGCACCCAGAACAGAAGGTGCAGTTTTTTATAACTTAATTTTGGAAATGGTATCACCTCTCCTGTATTCTCTGGGTTAGAAGTGATTTCACTAGGTCTAATCCATACTTGAGGAGAGGGGATTACACAGGGTGTGAATACCAGGAGGGGATCATTGTAGGCCATTTTAGATGCTCTGAATGGGACACACACATATACACAAACACTATTATGGACTGGATTGTGTGTCCCCGCTGAATTTTTATGTTGAAATCCTGATCGTCAGTAGCTAAAAGCGTAACCTTGTTTGGTGATAAATCGGTCTTTAAAGAGGTGCTTAAGTTAAAATGAGACCTTTAGTGTGGGAGATAGTCAAATATGAATGATGTCCTTATAAGATGAGGAAATGTGTGTGTGTGTTTACGCACACACACAGAAAAGACTACGTGAAGGCACAGTGAGAAGGTGGCTGTCTATAAGCCAGGAGAAAGGCTTCAGAGGAAACCAGACCTGCCAACACCTTGATCTTGGACTTACCAGCCTCTAGAACTGTGAGACAAATTTCTGTTGTTTACACCACCCAGTCTATAGTATTTTGTTATGACAGACCTAGCAAACTAATATATATGTATATAATATTTTAAAAGAACAGGTTTTTCATCGTGTTTAAGTTTCATGGTAATCAGGATCTGTCTTCTTTTTTCCTCTTGAAATTACAGGAGCAGAGTTCCTTTAGTTGGGACTGGGGGCCATCCTTTCCTACCCAGGGCATCTGGAAAGATGTCAGAATTGAAGCCTATAACATTTGTCATCTGAACTACTTCATGTTTTCCCCTATATATGGTAAGCTAAGAGATGTGATTTCTTGTTTTTCTTTTTTGAGCCTCCTCTATGCAATAAAAGTTGTGTTTATAATTTGAATATATAGATATACTTTTCAGAGACTCATTTAAAAAATTTTGTGGCACATTAAATTTGTCAGCATGAAAAATACATACAAACTGATTTGTCATGAACATTTACGATATAAAATAGGAAAGAGGGAGATAGATACTTTTAAACATATTTTGCAAAGAAAAAGGAAGAAAGCCAAAGCAGCTCTAGGTTTCTCTGAGCTAAGTGTTCCTTCTAAAAGAATTGGACCTGCTGCCTTATACTCCTCTTTGCAGCCTCTGTTCTCACTTTCAGAACTCTGACTGTGCTGAGTTCTTGATTTGCTCACATCCCTGGGCTGACTCTCACTGCACGTTTCCTCCTCTAAAAGCCGTGACGTACCAGCCTTGTTTGTTTGTTTTTTTAAGATTTTATTTATTTATTTGACAGAGATAGAGAGCACAAGTAGGCAGAATGGCAGGCAGAGGGAGAGGGAGAAGCAGGCTCCCCGCTGAGCAGGGAGCCCGATGCGGGGCTCGATCCCAGGACCCCGGGATCATGACCTGAGCCAGAGGCAGACGCTTAACCGACTGAGCCACCCAGGCGCCCCCGTACCAGCCTTGTTAAGAGTTGAAAATAAACTGGAAGGCAAACAAGGCATAAAGAAAGTTTTGTAAGGTAAAGAATACTACTTTTTCAGCCAAAGGAACTATTCACAAGTAAGGAGCATTGAATAAAACCTCAGACATCTCACTGACGTCAACAAATCAGTGAAAAACCGGTCAGATAGTTACTGAGTTGTTTGCCCAGCACTGTGTGTGTTTGGCATAGAAAGAACCTAGAGTATATACTCTTGCCTGCACATTGGTTGGGGTGGGGATGGGAGATGTGAACAATTTACCACACCAAGCAAGACTGTGTAATAGGCTTGTGGGATGGGAGCCCCCCAGTAGTTCAAAAAACTGAAGATCAGGGAGGGTTTGCGAAGTCAGGGAAACAAGCAAAGGGGGATCTTGAATGATACCTCACAATGCTCAGTCCAGTTACGGGCAGGCCTAACTGGTTGGAATCAGCAAGAATGTGGTGTGTCAGTACTGAAGTTCTGTTATCTTAAAGGCCCTGGTGACCCGAGATTGCTATTCCATCGAGCCAAATCTGTTTTCTAAAGGCAGAAGACAAAAGCAAATCAGAGGTGACGGGTAATTGGGGTTGTTAGGTGCTGCTGGCATTTTTAAACGGGAAAAGGGCATGAAAAGGTGCAATTTAAATTGTACGTGTAAATGTGGCTGTTCGTAGCTCTCTAGTGCTTCTGAACTATTCAGAGGTGTAACTTGAACTGAGTCTTGCTACTAAATTCAAAGAATGGTTCATTCTTCCCTATTCCCACTGATATTTTTTTTCTCAGGTATAATAAAATCTCGTGGAAGGAGGGGTCTGATTTTGCAAAGAGTTATTTATTTAATCATTCTGAAGTTTAATCAATGTTTTAGGTGGTTTGCAAAATGTACTATGAGTTCTAGTTACCCTGATACCTGAAAATATTTGAATAACACTGTTCTAGTTTAATTTAAAATTTTGAATATGAAACTAAACGTATCTTTCTGAATATGAGTCATTAGAGTTCAGTTTATTAGTCCCTAGTGACTGCGTGAATTTTATTGGAATTAAATCAATTTAAATGATGTTTAAAATTTAATTTAGATTCAGTGTAATCAATTCCCCATATCAACTACATTTTTGATATTTTGTGACTGCAATATATTTTGTACTTAGCATAGAGAAAAATATGCTTCCTGTTCAGAGGATATGCCCTGTGCATATTAAGCAGTAATTCTTAATATGATTAATTTTATAGATTTCAAGTTGGTTATTTGATGTAATAAAGAAAATTGAAGGATAAACATATGAAAGTGAGGAGAGGAACTTCCTTTAGGAGTTTTTTTTTTCCAGAACTCTTTTTCCAGTTTTCCTTTGGAAGACCGCAATCATCACTGAAATCAATAGATATTTAAAAGTTGAAAAATAATCAAGAGAATAAGCTAATATATTTTATGCATTTACTTGGTATGTAGTATGAGGCAGGCACTGTGAGAGGCACTAAAATTTTTTTAAGAGGATTAGTTCATAATCAAAACTAGATACATATAACTTTTCTTTAAAATCACGTATGTTAATTTTTAAAATTTTAGTGTGAAATGAGATTGGTCAAAACTAATGCAGACAGTGGCTATCTTGGAGAACAGTAATACAGATAGTTTGTATTTTATTCTTTTGCTCAACTGTCTTTTCTAGATTTCTGTGTCGAGCCTATATTGTTTCTGTAATAAGGGAAGAAAGTCATTAATTAATAACAATCTATTTAGTAATTTCAGCCAACTCATTATGAAAGGCTTAACTGATTTGACTGTGTGGCACTTTCTGCTTTCTCCCTATTGCGGCTAGAAAAATATAACCTTATTGTTTTTCCAAACGTTCAATTTCTTTTCTGAATTTGAATTAGTAAGTTTACCACTGAAGATCAAATGACTGACCATAACTCCCCAATTTAATTGTGTGCAGTATGACAGAAAAAAGTCTCTTTGACTTTTTAAAAATTAACTTGAAATCCTTATGAATTAGTTTACTTTATATATCTATGTAATACATGTATAGATTTATATATTTATATTAATTTATATACATATATGTATATGTGTACATATATCCTTTTCTGTATTCTCAGTCCTTATAATGGTGGTTTCTAAACTTTTCCACTTTTCAATATCCTGTGGTCATTTGTTTGATTTTACCCTAACCTCAGCTTCCTCAATGATTTTCACCTATTCTTAGTGTTTAAGATAATAAAAGCAAATTTATATTTGAAAAAAATACGGAGGTCAAAGGAAAACAAGAATTACTCCCGTTATGTCTTAGGCTCTTGTCGTTGATCAAGGTATTAAGAGATACCAATTCACTGACATGACGTTCTTTAAAACCTTACTAGAAAATATTTATTTGAATAATTCCTCCTTAGCCCTGAAATATTCTAATCAGGTTTAAAACAGCATTAGCTGTTCTAGGGCACCCACATTTTCAGTGTTTTGAACAGTGAAAGATTGACCCTGGTATTGAAAAGGGAAGCTCAGAGGCTTTTTACTGGGTGTAGAAACCCAGGAAGATTCTCCTGTTCTTTTCTTTTGGGGAGGGGGTGGAAGAATGACCCCATCTGCTGGGGGAGAGGAGGGGAAAGTCTGGCTGGACTCGGGTTTTTTAAGGTGCGTGGGGAGGAGAGATGGGGAGAAGATAGCTGGTAGGGCTGGATGCCCCAATCCAAAGATTAAGTCATTTGTAAGCAAGTAATCTGGCCCCGTGTGGCGCCGGTGGTGGTGGTGGTGGTGGTGTGTGTGTGTGTGTGTGAGAGAGAGAGACAGAGAGAGACATATATTCATTTACTGATTGTCTTTTCCATGCTACTAGGTCCTTCATATCTGTAATCTGATGTGAATTGTTCACATTATGCCCCAAAATTTATTAGGGAAGGATGATCATATAGTTTTATGAGCTTTTCATAAGCTTTACATAAACACATTAAGTCCAAATATATAATAAGTATGTTCTGATGAAATGCTACATTGTTTAATCATTTGTTACCACAGTCAGAAAAAAATAGTATAGGGGCGCCTGGGTGGCTCAGTCAGTTAATAACGCATCTGCCTTCGGCTCAGGTCATGATCCCAGAGTTCTGGGATCGAGTCCCGCATCGGGCTCCCTGCTCAGCGGGAAACCTGCTTCTCCCTCTCGCACTCCCCCTGCTTGTGTTCCCTCTCTCGCTGTCTCTCTCTGTCAAATAAATAAATAAAATCTTTTAAAAAAATAGTATAGAGAAGTTTTTCAGTATATGAATCCTCCTCTCAAGCTGAGGTGAGCTGTGGATCTTTGACCATGCTTGGGCACTTTCACCACCCCAGAGATGCTGCCTTCCCCCAACCTATCCACATTTACTTGCTGCCTCAGCCTAAGGTGCTCCCTCCTTCATTCTCGAAGACCTGGCAATTGAGTTGGAGGAGTTAGTTTAGCTCTCACCTAGACCCTGGCCTGCCCAACAGAAGCCTGTATTGGTCATTGCTGCCCTTTGCTTATAGGGAATATAATTTTACAATATAGCAAAGATTGGTCAATCTTGCTTAATGCCTTGTTTGATGCATTTTTTGAATGCATTCATTTTGAATGACTTTTTCATTCATCTTTGAATTACTTTACCCATAAAATAACAGCATTCACCCTTGAAAATATCTTTATGGGTAGGTAGGTTGCTTGACTAATCTCTCCTGTGATTAGCTGCCTTGTTGCCTGAATAGATTTTTTTCTCTGGAATTTACAAATTTATCTTTGGGGGAAATTTTGCTTTGGGTCTGTTTTGTCTTAGTTTTCATCTCTGAGGATTTTGTCCTGCTGAGTAAGCAAGGAGATCTTGCTGCTTGGTAAAGAAGGGGAAAACAGCTGTTGTAACTAACTGTGAGCCTGCCTTTCTGGCTAATGCAAGCTGTTAGCTCTTTGAAAAGCAGCTGCCGAAGGCTGTCCTATAATTCTAGCAGGAGCACAGGAAAATATCCTGTGTTTGAACTGAAACATTCTGTGGCTTGGTCATTTCAGCTTGTTGTCGTTGCTGTTTCTTCACATGCACAGGGATACTTCACTGCAGCTCTTCATCACCTATTAAAGATGCAGGAGGGCAAAAGGAGAAGCTGTTAGATGCTCAGCAGGGTGAAGCTAATCAAGGCAGCTCTCTTTGAATAGCTCCCCACCCCCCATGAGATGAAGCATCGTTTTTCATCTTACATAAGCAACCTGCCATCCTTTGCAGGTCCTTCCCATGCTGACCTGAATGTTCTTCCATCTCCGTGTTAATTCTGAACCCCCCAGATACCATCCTGTATTCTTAACTGTGCCCTTTGGGTATATTTTGTTTCTCTAAGTAGATTCAACATCTT